AAAAACACCAAAAAATACCCAAAAAACACCCAAAAAATACCCAAAAAAACACCCAAAAAACACCAAAAAATCCTCAAAAAATACCGAAAAAAACCCAAAAAAATACCCAAAAAACACCAAAAAACTCCCAAAAAACACCCAAAAAATCCCCAAAAAACACCCAAAAAATACCAAAAAAACACCCCAAAAATATTTAAAAAATACCCAAAAAATCCTCAAAAAATACCGAAAAAATACCCAAAAAACACCCAAAAAATACCCAAAAAACACCCAAAGATTACCCAAAAAACACCCTAAAAACACCCAAAAAACACCCAAAAACCACCCAAAAAACACCCAAAAATACACAAAAAATCCTCAAAAAACACCCAAAAACCACCCAAAAAACACCCAAAAAACACCCAAAAATATCAAAAAAATCCTCAAAAAACACCCAAAAAAACCCCAAAAAACACCCAAAAAATCCTCAAAAAACACCCAAAAATACACAACCCCCCCGATGGGCTGTACCGGCTTTGGGGATGACGGCGGTGTTGCAGGACAGCCCCAAAACACCCAAACACCCCCAAAACCATCTCAAAAAACACCCAAAAAATACCCAAAAATACCCAAAAATCCTCAAAAAACACCAAAAAAATACCCCAAAAAACACCCAAAAAAATACCCAAAGAACACCCCAAATTACCCCAAAAACACCCAAAAAACACCCAAAAAACACAAAAAAAACACCCAAAAAATACTTAAACACCCAAAAAACACCAAAAAAATACCCCAAAAAAATACCCAAAAAATCCTCAAAAAAACCCGAAAAAACACCCAAAAAACACCCAAAAAACACCCAAAAAATACCATAAAATAACGAAAAAATACCCAAAAAACACCCAAAAAATCCTCAAAAAATGCCGAAAAAACACCCAAAAAACACCCAAAAAATACCGGAAAAACACCCAAAAAACACCCAAAAAACACCCAAAAATACACAAAAATACCAAAAAAATACCAAAAAACCACCCCAAAAATACTTTAAAAATACCCAAAAAATCCTCAAAAAATACCAAAAAAATACCCCAAAAATACCCAAAAAACACCCAAAAAATACCAAAAAAACACCCCAAAAATACTTTAAAAATACCCAAAAAACACCCAAAAAACACCCAAAAATATCAAAAAAATAGCAAAAAAACACCCAAAAAACTCCCGAAAAATCCTCAAAAACCACCCCAAAAATCCTCAAAAAACACCAAAAAAACACCAAAAAAACACCCAAAAATACCCAAAAAACACCCAAAAAATCCTCAAAAAACACCCAAAAACACCCAAAAACCACCCAAAAACCACCCAAAAACCCCCCAAACCCCCCCGATGGGCTGTACCGGCTTTGGGGATGACGGCGGTGTTGCAGGACAGCCCCGGTGTCTCGCTCAGCCCGCACAGGTTCTCGCTGAACACCTTGAACAGGTACTCGTTACCCATCACCAGCTCCGACACCGTGCAGCGCAGCGGCCGGTTGTGCTCGTACACCGTGAACCACTCCTGCCAACCAGACAGGGGTGTTGGGGGGCTTTGGGGGGCTTTTGGGGGGTCCTGAGAGGTTTTTGG